AAATAATGAAGAATCTGCATAAATATATGTATGTTTCTCACATTGTGATAAAATGATGGTACCTAGATTGTGATACAGTTTTGAATAACGTACGTTTCCACCCAAATATAGCATCTAGAAGCCCAAATTTGGAATTTGTTTTATTATCTATTTCATCTTTTGTAAAGCATTTATGAGCTTTTGATTAAGAAACTCAATGATTGCAAAGATAGCAATGGCAACACTGTAAGAGGGGAATTTTTAAAAACAGTTTTGTGTCTAGCGCAAAATTCCAAAGATATGCTCATTTAAAAACATTTTTGCGATATTGCTACTGAATTAAATTTTATGGTTTAAGTGCGAAGAACATGATATTTTTAATAAATAAAGATAACCCACAAAACGTAAGAACATTAACCATGCTAAACAGCACACAAATTTATTGCATATATATTTCTAAAAATCTATTATTATTTCTAATGCCGCTAGAAATATTATCACATTAACATATACTAAACATCAGGCTGAAAGTACAAACATGCCAGAACAAATACACCAATAAGTATGTTTAGTTTGGAAACTTAGGACTGTTTAAGCCAGCTATCTCCAGAAACTGTAAAGTAATACTGCCATACATACTATAAGCAAATCTGATGCTGTTTTCAATTCCAATGACTGTATATTAATATATAATGAAAGCATTCATAACAAGATGGATATGTTACTGGAGAAGAATGCAGGAAACTAGAAAATGCTCTACAGAAGTTTTAATAATCCTGTTCATGACTTCATTTTTTTACATTTCTTGGAAAGCCTGTCACTGTGCTTTCACAATTGAAGTAATTATTAGTGGCTGAAGAAAGGGATATAAAGTGTTTAATGTTTAGTTGTACTATCAGGTGCTTAAGTTTATTATGATTGTTCCTCCTACGCAAGTGTATCTAGTGTATGAAGCCCGTGTTTACAAAGCATTTATACTGTGGAAGTACAGTAACGGGTTTTCATCCGCAGAGAACCCGTTGGCGCTTCGGGAAAGAACCCGTTGGCGCCGTTGCATTTTTACTCGCCAAGCTCGCGGTTCATCGGCGATGAGCCGAGCCGCAAACGTGATATTTTGTAAACGTGATTTTTAGTGCATGTAAATTCAAGTTAGCAGACAAAACAATATATTAAGCATATGGTAGTAAAAATTCACAGAAATAAGCATGTAGATGTAAAACTAACCTGTAACGTGATATACGAAATTATATTAAATTCAATTTAGCACAGAAAAGAATATATTAAGTATAAGACAATATATAAGCATTTATAACGGAAATAAAAATTCATTTGAAAAATATAAATTAGTATTAATGTACTGAAATTAACCTGTTAAACGTGATAAACAAACAAACAACAACAAAAAAAAAAAAAAAAAATTGTCTTAAATTCCAGTTAACACAGAAAACAATATATTCCTTACACCAGCAGTGGTTTGCTAATTTTGATGACCATGGTGATGCTAAATAATCTTTTTTATTTCAACTCAATCATCTGTCACACTTGCCATCCTCTGAAAGGTTATTGTTAGAAAAGCATTAACAATATATTATCTTATTAAAATTTTACGCCAGAAAATTGATTTATTCTCATAATTTTAGATGACAATAACCAATAATAAAAATAAAAGCATTACTTAGTAATTTAAATTGCTGGTTCTTAGAGCTGTTAATAATTAAGAACACACGTGAAACGCCGTGTTACAAATTAGCTTCACCCCTCCCGCCGTATTTTCTTCCTTTCATCCCGAACCGAGAACCGGCATCTATCTACGAAAATATTTCTATCTATTCAATGTTAAAAAAATCAGAAAAAATAATAATAAGTAAGAGAAGAATAATATAAATCTGCAAATGCGAACAACGACAGTGATAGTTCAACAAAATGAACGCAAGAGGAATGGTTGCAAACTTCGAACAAGCGAATAGGATAAATCCGCTGGGTTACCAGGTTTGAACTATTATCGCCAAAGTTGGCGATGTTTACATTTACCGGGTTCTCTGCGTAAGTGCTTCCACAGTAACTTAGGTATCAGTGAGGGTATACAAGAAAATGTCAATAGATTATTTGCAATGCACATAAACAAGTAAAGGTATAGAATAAACCATTTTTAAACATCGACGATAAAGCGGAAGCATAACAAAATAAATGAAAACGGAAAATAAAGCATTAAAAACATTTACAAATGTAGGACAAACTATCAATAATTATACCTGGAATTACATTTTATTCAATTATGTGCTATTTAATTGAATACTGTTTGCTACTTTTCGTTAACAAACAGCGAATCAGACGTTACTCTGTCACTACGCTCCCCGATATACTACTACGAAAATTCCCTCAGCCGGGGAAAAGTATCACGGCTATTTTCCTAGAGGAAGTACGTCATCGGAGAACAACCATAATAAGTTGTTATTGCCTCGTTTAGCGTCAAGGCTTCTCGAATAATATCCAATAATTCAGCTTATTGAATTAACATGCAGAAATTTTTATTGGAATATTTTTTGTCCATGTCATTAACTGCATGTATTACAAAATAAATATTAACGAACGGAATTCAGTAGGAGTAATTCCTTTTGGAGAGCAGGCGACACCAAACCTTTTTGTTTAAAATACCCCTCTTTCTTTTTAAGGAAGTTTCAAGATTCTTACGGAATATGGCCACCTCCGTTTAACAGGCGTTCAAACCACAGAATCTGGCAACCTGCCATTTCGCTTGCATTTCGATCTTAGAAATGTTAGCAACTTTTTCTTTTGCCTAACCAACTAACTGCAAACGTAAGTTTTTTTTTTTTTTTTTAAATTTTTCTTGTTTTCACCATTAACAGCTTAATTAGTTTTTTAAGTTTTCCAGTTCAAAAAACAATAGCGATTATAATGTAACTATTTTATTTCGGAAATTGTTTTTTTAGAAATAAGATATTAGGTTACGTTCTTAGTTCTTTTTATAGTGTTGTCTCTAAAACTCTTTCGTATATTTTCATAATTTAAAAAAAAAAAAAAAAAAGAGTTTTCGATTCTATTTTGTACAATGTTTCTAGACTTTTCTTTCTGCATATTATGTTTTTGTATATTTTGCAATTCTATTTAGTTTGATTTTAAATTTACTTTTATTCTCTGCATTAGCTAATAGTGACGAACAAACCCGTCGGGTAGTTCTTTGACATTAAGATGCTATTAGAAATATTATTTTGCACTCCCGAAAAATTAATTAACAGCGTTTTGAGTCGCATAATATCAGGAAGCACGAAATGTGTGTTCGGTACAAATTAATCTTCTAGGTTTAGTGTTTCAAATACCTAACCCCTTAAAAAATTCTGTTTGAAGTATTAAACATAAGTGATTGCTAGTTTTTATTTGTTATTCCAGTATCTATATTTTTATAAATTTTATAACTTTAATTGTCCTTTAAAAGACATTTTCTTATCGAACTTTATAATTTTTTTTTCACTTCCAGTTAACATGAGACTATTGTACTGCCATACACAATGTTCCTCAGATAGGATAATCTTCTAAAAAATTTTGTCAATATATTTCTTTTTGTCCTATTTGCTTATATACATATAAGCCTATTGCGCTCATGATCATGTGTCATAAAAATTATATTTACGTAATTAGTTCGTGTCCTGCAATAAAAGTTATATTCAATTCTGCCACGTCTGTCTACAAGTCGAGTGTCATCTTTCTGATTACGTAATGAAGTATCTGCAAGTTAAAATGTAGAGAACCATCGTCAGTCCATTGCAGCTTACTCCAAGTCATCATTTCAACATATTGACATTCTGCGCAGTCAGAATTCTTCTTTTTCTTCAATATGGATCTATGTCTTACGCCATCAACATTACTACATATATATAATAAAAAAGAGAAAAAGATGTAGCAGCAAATGTTGATTGAGTAGAATGTAGATGATGTTTACATTTTTGATACTATGGCGATAGGAAGAGAGCATTGCAAAGCGTCCAAGCAGAAATTGAACCTAAAAGTACGCAATTATTCAACATGGAAGTCTATTAAGATAAAGGTTTTGGTTTACGTTAGAAATGTTTCAGTTCTCAGAATTTAGTTCTTCAATTAAGTACGTCATCAGCGTTACACAAGCTTTGTAAGTTTCTAGATTAATATTTCATAGATTAATCTAGAAATAGCAAGGTCCAGAAATGTTATTTTTTGAATAGAGATATGAAGTACTCAAAATGAGGGATTAAGAGGCTATTACTAAATTAAATTAAAAAGCTGATTTGTGTTGTTTTTTTTATCGTAAATCACATTTATAATTTAATAACAGCCTTTTAATTCCTCATTTTTAATTTGATTATTCCCTCTTCATTCTAAAAATAATAATAACATTTCTGGACTGTGTCATTTCTAGATTAATCCATGCCACAAAGCTTGCGCAGCGCTCATGAAACCTTTGCAAACCAAAACCTTCGTCTTTAGTGAGTTGGCATACTGGATAAATGTTTATTTCGCTTGTAATTCTGTTGCTGTTTCGGCGTCATTTCGTTGTGCTCTGTTCTTGTCAAAATTGTATTAAAAAATGTAAATGTTCTGAAAATAGGCACGACCACAAGTGAACTGTGGCTCTAAACGTGAATTTAAATTAAAAAAATGGAATTAAAACCGACTCTTCTGTGAAATTTCTTAGACATTGCGAATTCTGTGGTCTAAGTATCAAGTAGCTACGCCATCAGTATTTATGCGTACTTCTAAATTTTGCTTTTATCACATAATATTTATTACATAATATTACTGACGCATAAGGACATTGAGGCCAACCATTATGCCATAATAAATTTAATAATATTTTCAATAGAAAAAATGAAAATTAATTTTCCGCACGCGTAAAAAATTAATGAAGGAGCCAACTCTATACTGTTAAGGCAACTCTATACTAACTTCACTGACGTCACAGCCAATAGAGAGCGAGAACGCACATTTGTTTGTTTACTCAAGTGAGCTAGCCACTTCCTCTACAGACTTTGAACGATATGGACCTTAGAAATAGCCGGAAGTTCTCCACCCCTTTTCCCTCTGCCTCTGTCTGGGGAAAATTTTTCTTTTTTAAACCTCCATGACATAGCTTATGACAAATGAGGATTTTGTTTTGGAAACATCCGCGATCGATGTTACTTGTATAAAGAGATATTTTTTTAATGCTGGACGTCAAAATCGCCTTGATTCTGTAGTGTAGAATTTATGAACGTGCTAAGGTGTAAAAATCGTTAATAGCTGATATAAATGTAAGGGATATACTGTATACCATTTAAAAAGAAGCTTTGAGAGTGTAAAGTATGTTTAAGTTGTTGCAGATAATAAATTAATCTGTTGAAGTTAAAACTGTTATGCATAAAATATGCAGGCAGTTAGGAAACATATTTGTGGTACTTAGAATGTTTTGTTGAGAAGGTATGCCTGCATGAAGATGTTTGACACAAAATTTATAGATAATTGTTTTTATATGAAAAAACTATTTCGAAAAAAATACAATTTCTTATAGATTTTTTATGTGTTATATATTCGGAAACTGTTTCCTGGGCAGGAATTATTAAATATGGATACAGTTGCAGATGAGCAGTATCATACTAGTGATGTTTTGAAACCATTCTTGGAAAGAACTGCAACAAGTAAAATTATGTATATTCATATAGGATCGCATATATGTAATGTATGCAAGAAATCATTTCTTCGCAAGTTTGATTTACAGATGCACATGCGTTTTCACACAGGCGAGAGACCTCATGTATGTGATGTATGTAACAAAGCATTTATGCAGAAATTCAAGTTAGAGGAGCATAGGTTTGTCCACTCTACTGAAAAAGTTCATAAATGCAGTGAATGCAATAAATCATATAAATGGAAGAGCGATTTACTGGAGCACATGCGTAACCACACTGGTGAAAAATTGCATGTGTGCAATATATGCAGCAAATCCTTTGCAAAATCATCTGGATATCATGTTCATCTGCGGATGCATAGTGGTGTGAAACCTTTTTCGTGTGATATATGTAATAAATCGTTCTTGCGAAAAAGTGATTTACAGGTGCATGTTCGTATTCACACCGGTGAGAAACCTTACAAGTGCAACTTATGTGGCACATCATTTGTGTTAAGCTGTAAATTAAAAGTACATATATCACGTGTTCACACTGGAGAGAGGCCTTATAATTGTGACATATGTGGCAAGTCATTTATTAGGCACGAGGATGTTAAAGCACATTTGCGTACACACACTGGAGAAAAACCTTATTCTTGCGATGTTTGCAGCAAATCATTTTCGGAGAAATCGGCATTGAAGCGGCATGTCATGATTCATACAGGTGAGAAGCTTTATAAATGTGAGGTGTGTAAAAAATCATTTATTCGGAAAAGTAGTTTTCTGCTGCATATACGTATCCATACTGGTGAGAAACCTTTTGAATGTAATGTATGTACTAAATCGTTTGCAAGAAAAACTTCCCTACAAGATCATATGTATACTCATACAAATGAGAAGCCTTATTTTTGTGATATATGTGAAAAATCATTTATTTGGAAGCATCAATTAAGGAAACATAAACATTCTCATTTAGTATGAGATCGTGTATATGCGAAATGCAGAGCAAATCATACATGCAGATACAAGTTAAGTAAGTGTAAATGCATCCATGCAGATGAAAAATGCAATATGTGGAGAATGCAAACATAACTTTGTCTCCATAAATTATATTTATAAATAATACTCATATGGATGAGAAACCTTATAATTATGGTATCTATTCTAAGTCATGTAGTCTATCTATTCTAAGTTTTTCTTGAAAAGTAAATTATGGGTGCATATGTGGACTTATGCTTGGGGAAAATTTTATAAATATAGTGTATAAAGGATAGCATCATGTGAAATTAAAAATATTTTTAAAGATGGTGAATTTATAGTGATGAGAAATCTTCAGTATGTTTACTTTTCAAACTTTTTTTTTTTTAATATTACCAAAAATGATGTAACAGTGTATAATCAATTTAGAGAAACTACATTATATTATATACAACAAATCATTCGTGGTAATGTGTTCTCTCATGACATACACACTGACCTAAGTGAATAATCTCATCATAACATATTTGAGGTTTAAAAAAGTAATAGTAAATTAGTGAGAAATTTCAGAAGTGCTCTAATGCAAATGTATATTCATAGTGTAATGGGACTTTTGTATTTATAGTTTTTAACCTATGGGTGAATTATTTATTCCTGAATGAGTAAAGTGATGTCCACTTTAGACACCTTATGAAAAGAGCTTGATAATGTCTTTTACAAATTAGGTGTGCTCGATTTTGGAGCACATCCAACTTAGGTAATCTGTACTTACAAATGGGAAAGTTTCCCATTAAATAATTTATAACTCAATAAATTAATAATTTTATACTTAGTATACCATCCTAAACAAACCTGTATAGCGTAAGCCAGGGGTTCCAAACCTTACGCCCACAGGCACCATGGTGCCAGCCTCTGTGTGATCGCAATAAAAATGTTTTAGGTTTCAATAAAATTCTATTTGAAGGTTTTCTCATTTTTTATGAAATGGAAATTGTATCTGACACAGATACCAGCACAAAGGGAAATGCGACCGATCTCTTTTTTTATGTGCATGTATTATTAATTCTATCCAACGTAAATAGTGCCCGCTGACCAACAGATATTCTAGAATGTGCTCTTAGGGACAAAAAGGGTGGGGACCTATGGCATAAGCTGTTCACTGGTACAGAACTTTTATGCTGATGGGCGAGTGTCATTACAATGTTATGCGTGCAGAGCAACACTTGTGACCTACTTTTCTGTTCAGTTTTATAAGTCTATATTTACTTCTACAGTAATGCATCCAAAGTGAATTTGATATATTACTGCAGTAATTTTCTGATGGTTAATGTTTATTTATCTTCTTGCCTGAAAAGTGTTAAAGAAAAATAATTAGAGTTAAGTAATATAACATAAATATACTCACTATTTATTAGAGACTGAAAGGAAAGGGCATGAATACAGAATTAACTAGCGTATGTTATATTGTAAAATGTGACTGATGTAAACGGTATGTGCACGGAAATATGTTTTGCATATGTACCAATTTCATTCAGGTACACTTCCAGTTGGTAAGACATTGAGAAAAATTTTAGTGCAAAGTCTGATATTTAAAATGTTCTTGTTGTCTATCTAAAATATTTTTACCATTATGTTACTTTATGCTAAATAACATTTGCTGTGTATAATTTGAAGAGTATTCCCATTTTGTGAAACATAAGATCATCAATTCTGTTCACGCATCTTTTCCCAAATAACCAGTTTCGTACTAAATCATGTAATTTAAAAGCATTAAATGCAATCCTAAATGTTTTAAATCATTATTTTATTTTTTTAATAATTTATTGGAGTGATATACTTTTATATGTATTTATTTTATAAAATATCTACGAATGATTTATAATTTATTTATGGGTAAAAATATATTTAAGAGTGCTCTTTGGTGAAAATTGGCAATTGGCCAGGAAGGCACAATTTCAAGAGGGCCACTAGACAAAACCAAAATAACAAGTCAAAGAATTGCACAAACTCGGTGTCCATATACACATCGATCTATTTTCACTGAAAAAAACATCGGAGAATTGCACAAACCCGGCATTGTGCACTGACTTGACTTTGTCCATGTACACATCGATCTATTTTTCACTTAAAAATCGAAGGGGCACCCAACTCTACAGTAGAGCCAAATATATATATATATATATATATATAATCCCAACGAACTGCATTTGAAATCAACATAAAAAAGGAAGGTTAATCTTTGGATTATGGTAACTTGGCGATTGTTTGGTGAAAATTTGGCGACGAACCCTGCTACAGCAACCTGCTAGTTTTTGTTTGGACGCCATTTTGTTTTCACGAAGTAAAGACTTTTTTTTTTTTTTTACTCAACATTTTTTTCCCAACAATCTGCTAGCCGAATTACGCTTATGCTAGAACTTTTATGGAACAAAAGTGCTTAATCATGACGAAGATTAGGTGCGAAATTGGGAGAAAGTGCAGAATCACAAACTGCTTGCCACATTTTTAAGAATTGCACATACACGGTATCCATGTACACGTCGACCTATTTTCACTTAAAAAAACATCCCAGAATTGCACAAAAAATGGCATTGCGCACACTCTTGACTTTATCCATGTACACTGCTAAAGTCCTAGCTAGTAACCTTTATTGCCTTACCAAAATGTCGCCAAACTACCTGTTACCATATTCCAAAGATTAGCTAAAAGGAAATACATCTTATGATATTCATGCACTATACAAAGGAAATATCCATTTACCTTATTTAGAAATGTCTGTGTCTTCAGTTCTGTGGCACACAAAATTCCTTAACAGCATCCATAAACTTTCCTTGGTAGGGTACGAACTGTGCGAAATTTGATCGAAGATCCACCCCCCGTCTTATCTAATAGACGAACTACGCGACTTTTTCCCGTCCCGTCTCTCTAAGAACGTGAATTCCCAAGAAGATTGGGTGCTACAAAAAGTCATTTATCACCATTAAAGGGGCATTTTATTGAGACTGCAAGCCTCTATTTTCGTTTTTCAATATTGTAAAAAATTGTGCATAGAAAACAAATATTAATTTAAAGTCTGGCATGTGCTAAAGTAAAAATGAATTTCTTTTACACTCGTTTAAAAGTTTTATGATGCTTAAAAGAATGATGAGCCAGATCATTTTTAGTCTCTGTAAGAATTAAAAACTTTCCAAGTTGTAGATTTTAGTTGCTGATATATATAAAATTGATAGTTTAATGACATATACAAAACTGATACATAACCAACCTATCAAATATCGGATTTGTAGCTCACCTTAAATAAGTTTCTTGTCTAGATAAATATTAAGAAACCTTCTTAGCAGAATGGTTTTAATTTTCAAATTTATCATTTTAGGTAAATGGTTCTAATTTAATTTAAACAATTCTCTTTATTTAATCTAAAAATTGGATTTCTTAAGTGGTTCTAAATTCACACTAATATTATTGCAATATATTGCCGTACTAAGCTTTCCATTTTTAGTCATTGAAGGTTATTTTAAGGTTATTTAACTTTCTTACAAATTCCATATTTTAATACTAGAAACGTTTAAATATTTTTTCTGTTTTCCAGTTACTTTACCTGATGTACTTTGGCATACATTTAATTTCTAATACACATTTAATTAATAAATTGATAATTATTAGCATCTGCAGAATTTTCATAATTAACAAAAAAAATTTGAACTTCCTTATATTAATATCTTGGGATTTTCAGTTCCTTTTTTATCCATTCCTTTTTCACATATTGTTGCACTGTATTCAAGTTTTCATGTATGTAGAATTTATAGATTTTGTATTGTATTTATGCCAATTTATATTTAAATAATAATTTTTACAAGTTCTTGCATCATAACTCTAGTTAAGAGAAGATATTTCTAATATCTTGATAAAGCTTAATCATCAGCATGGAGCTTATTTTCTAACCTAGTTTCAGGCTGAGTCATTTATATTATTTATTTGAAATTATTTGTTAACAAAGATGGTTACTAAATCACACTAATAATATTTCTAACTGTTGTAATTTATAATGCAGCAAGTTCGTGTGATTTATTATAGAAATCATTTATAATTTTTTCAGCAGTATTGAAATTAATTGGTGTTGGTGTATTTAATTATGGCAAAGCACACTAGGGCTATCTGCCTAAGGGCAGGGATGCCTTCGTGGAGGACTTTCCAAGGGAAACTGGCTTGTATACACGCTACACATGGGGAAAACCACGAAAACACCCATGCAGCCAGGCCGTTCGCGGGATTCGAACCTCGGACTGAACTACCAGTGTTCAGTGACTTTACCGCTCGGCTGCTGGTGGGCCAGTATTGAAATTAATAGCAGATATTGATAATGTTATACATTTAGATTACAATGATTTAGACTGCCATTGCCTTCTTCACTCGTGCTTTTATGCTATATTCCTTATATTTCATAATAGCATACAGATAAGTTTAATTCATTCACTAAACATGTAAATCTCTAATTCAGCCCACTTTTGTTCTTATGTGTGCTGTATCTTCTAATTTCTTTAATACGAGGGTTGGAACTTTAATAGTGGCAACTATTTATTTACAAGGAATACAAAAGTGATTCATGTCACCATGTTTTACAGTCCTTCAATATAGTCGCCAGCATTGTGTACAACCCGTTTCCAACGATGTGGAAGTCGCAGAATACCTGTAGCAGCGCCTGTTTTGTTGAAAGTTTGAATGGACCGGTCCACTGCCGCAAGAATCTCAGGAACAGTTTGGAAGTGAGTGCCACGAAGTCGTTCCTTCATCTTAGGAATTAAGTCATAGTCAGAAAGGCTTAGATCTGGGGAGTATGGTGGATGGTAAAGCACTTCCCAGCCCCATCGCTTGAACAAATCAGTCACAGCTTGTGCTGCATGTGGCCGAGCATTGTCATGCAAAATGAGAGGAGCGTTCTGCAGAAAGTGTCGCCGTATTTTTCTCAAAGCTGGTCGGAGATTGTGCTCCAAAAATGAGCAGTCATACTGCGCAGTGACGGTCTTTAGTGGGGAACGGTATGCGTTAGGATGACACCATCACAGTCGTACACGAGAATCACCATAACTTTCACATTGCTGGGGTTCTGATGAAATTTCGAACGTCGTGGTGACCCGTGATGACGCCATTTGTTTGATTGGCGTTTCAGTTCTGGCTGGTACGATCGAGCCCAAGTCTCATCCAGCGTAATGATACAGCGTAAAAAAGCATCTCCTTCACACTCATAGAGCTCCAGGTGGGTTCGGACAGCATCATATCGTAGCCATTTCTGCATTTCCGTCAATTGATGTGGAACCCATCGTGAAGCAATTTTTCTCATGGACAGGCATTCCTTCAGAATGTGCAGCACAGTCGTATGGGCTAATCCTGTTTGTCCGCCCAGCTGACGAATCGTTTGGCGGCGATAACTGTCCATTAGTGCGGCAACAGTTTGCACGTCTGCATCGCTGACACTCAGACGACCTGGCCACAGCATGTCTGCCATGTTTTGGCGTCCTTCATTGAATGTTTTCACCCATCTTGCTACGGTTCTGTAAGGCAATGCAGATTTCCCGCAAGCCTCTTGAAGCCCTTGATGACACTGTCATGCTGTACGACCTCTGGCACATTCAATTTTTATCCAACACACTGTTCTTGTTTTGGAAACATCCTGACAACACTTATTTAGACCACGAGCTAATACAAGGATCCATTCTTCGCGTCACACCGCATGCGCGTGACGTAGGCAGAACGAGTCTTTTTGCTGAGAGGTAAAGTAGGTATGTAGTTCACGTGTGGTATATGCAATATTCTTTGGTTTTGTTGCATAGAGTTTTTTCAGCTGTGTTGCCACTATTAAAGTTCCAACCCTCGTATATTGTTCAGCCTAATTTGAAAAGGTCTTATGATCAAGTGGAAAAGTCACTAAACATTGGTAGTTTGACCCGAGTTTTTAATCCCACAAGATCCCCCACCTCTTACTTTTTTTTTTTTTTTTTTTTGGTATTTAATTACGGTGTAAAAATGTATCGTAAAAATTTCAGTTCATGAAGCAAAAATATTTTTAAAATTTATTCTTAAAATATTGCAAAAATTTTCACTTTTGCCTTAGCATATCATTTTACAAATCCCTGTAATAAGGAAAAAAATTAACTCGGATTCGATGATTGATACCTCGGTCCAAATTATATGTAATCTTTTTCAAAAGCATAGAGTTTATATGGATATCAATAAATTATGGATTATTTCTCAATCTAATTTTCTTAACATGTTTATTCCAGAATTTTCTTTTCACACTGTAGCGCTTAACTTTATGAGTTTTCTATAATTATTCAATTTCTCTAGCCATGACAACTTTGCATACCTTCTAACAAGTAGTTATATTTTTAACCACCGTATTTTAATTCCTGTTGACTATCAGTACATTATTCACTTGTTTTACAAGTGCAAATATTTATTTTATACGCAAATCTACGTAAAATAGCAATAAAACTTCAGTTATGCGGAGCTCCTGATTGATTGCTTGTTTTAGATTGAATGAAATTAAGCTTAATGTTACTGTTAATTAGCTTATTATTAATTTAATTATACATTTCTAATTATATGTTCAAATATTTCCAAGTATATTACACAAACTTTTGCATCCCAATTTTTAGTTTTTGCTTAAAAAAAAGCTTTTTTTTATTGAGAGGCCTGATTGATTATATTAATTTGCAGTACTGTTTATCTAATTCTTTCCTTCTAGATAAATTTTAGAAAAAACTTCTTAGCATAATAATTTTAATTTATTTACAATT